CCCCCCAGCTAATTTTGCCGCCAGTGCCCTTTTCCATGTTCGACAATAAAAAAATACGGCGCAAGCCAAACCGAAGAAACTGTGAGTTTTGCGAACAACTTCAGTGTCTTCAAGTTATTGAAAAACGTGGAATTATACCGAATTTTCCAACTCGTTTTCCCTAAGAAACTAACGCAACCCAAACACATGGTTCACGAAAAAACCTATATAAGTTAGGGGGATCACAGAAGTTGCTAAATGTCTTTATACAGACATTCAAGTCATAAGAGATACTGAGACAATCCAGCCCTAAAATACCCACATATGGGAACAACTGGGCACAAAATGCTACAGAAGCACTTTGGTTGTAAAATATCAAAGCACATGAATTGCGAAACATCTGCCTGGATGAATTTTGCTGATATCCGATGGATTATAAAACTGAAGCCCTAGCCATCTAGTCGTAAGGACATGGAAACCAAACAACTAGGCTTGCTGGTAAATGAGAAACTCGGGATTTCGCGGAACCAAGTAAAATACGCCTGAGGTTTCCGAGCTTCGAAATATTCGCGAATTTTCGAAGGATGTGGGCGCTTCAACGGCTCACAGATGACGAACGCAAAGCAAGCAAACTAAAGTACCAGCCATTTGCCCGTATGGATGTGGAAACCAAACAACTAGGCTTGTTGGTAAATGAGGGACTGGAATTTCGTGGAACCAAGTACAATACTTCTGGAGCTTCGGCATATTTGCTAATTTTCGAAGAATGGCTGTTTCAACGACTCACAGATGACGAACGTAAAGCAATCCATGAGTGCGAACTGCAGTGGGCGCGCTATGGCCGTCAATTCAGCATTTTTTCTGGTTCCCAAGTTGGCAGCTTACCCGCCAAAAACTTCCTCGGACCTGTACGTGAGGACCACGTGGGCAAGGGCATCCATTTTGGGGATAGGGGCCTGCATAGATGCTGAATTCGAAGACAACGTAAAACCGAGTGTCGCAACGAACTGAATGACCAACAGGAAGCATTTGAATGTATTAAGCTCAGTGTTATAGGGAGGTGATCTGAACAAACGGACGCGATGAATCTCCACGAGAAGTTACGAATTCTGGGGAGTTCTACATGATGATGAAGACGAGCTGCAATTCTCAGTCGAAGAGCGGACTCCGAAAACTACGATTTGTACAATTTCGTCGATTCTGATGAGGAACTATCGAGTGGAAGATGCGCAATGTTTCGGGCGCCATAACGCTTGTTTCACGTACTTTACACAGACTGATTATTCCGTATACTATTGCTCGA